ATAAGTAATTATTACTATTATCAACAACTTAGACTCCAAAACTGCATTTCTAGCTGCCTGCTAGGCCTCTTAATTTTGGACATTTCTCAATTTCACTGCGCTACAATGAGAAAAAGGGACCCTTCTCCTATTGAAACCACCACCATTCATACAACTGCCTAGTGTCAAGGCCTTGCCAGCACCAACTCTCCCTTCCCCTCACCCTCTTGCCTAGTGTTTCCTATCGCTCACTTCCATGGGAGGCAGTGCGGGATGGGGTGAAGAGCATGGACCAAATTCAAGCTCTGCTTCACCACCTAGTTAATTAACCTCTACGTCTCTGTTTTGTTTATTTCCTTCTGTGAAATTGGAGGAACAAAAATTCTGCCTCAGGAAGCTGCAGTGTGAATTAAATGAAAGAATCCCTATAAAGCACTCGGAACCAAAGCTGGTTGAGTAACCATTCAAAGAAAATTAGCAAATTAGTAATATTATTCCACTACTTTTGCCTCACAGTTAATTATAGATAATATTTTATACAACTGTAATAGAATACTGACTCTCCCGATGGATTATAAGCAACTTGAGGGCAGGAACCATGCCCTATTCCTTTTTATAGCCTCCCAATAACTACTGGTGTTGCCCATACAGTAAGCTCTTAAAAACACTTACTGGCCCAGCTACAGTGGCTCAGTGGTTGAGGGCAGACCTATGAACCAGGAGGTTACAGTTCCACTTCTGGTCAGGGGACATGCCCAAGTTGCGGGCTCGATCCCTTGTAGGGTGCGTGTATGAGGCAGCCAATCAATGATTCTCTCTCCTAATTGATGTTTCTATCTCTCCCTCTCCCTTCCTCTCTGAAATCAATAAAAACATATTAAAAACACACACACACACAAACCGTATGTGGACCCCAATATACAAAAGAGCTAAAAGATCTGGTTAAAGTGGGGGTGGGGGTCTTACCAGGCCTCCTTTAACCTGTTTCTGTGGGAGACCCTGAGGTTAGAAACAGACGTGCTCAGTTTTCCTGTTTGGAATCTCTCTCCAACATCTCCATGAGACAAACTCTGCTATCTAGCCTTTCAGGTCCCCCTCCCAGAACCTCTCACTCCCCGCCTCTCTCTGTTCTCCATCACTAGTCTGCCTCAGCGGGCACAGAACAACGGAATGAGGACAGGTTAGAAGTGACGCAAGCTGGGCTCGGTCACAAATCGTTGTGTAAACTGGTACTAGTCACTGCATTCAATTAGGCCTCAGGCATTCAATCTTTAAATGAGCAAATCCTATAAAATCAATGTTCCTTAAAGTGTAGCATGTAATTTCAGGTGGCATATAGGTGAACATTAATTACAGTGATAGAATCCATTTTGACGATTAGAAAAAAAAGAATATCACATTCATGATATTGAGGATATTGTGAAAGCATGCACAGACTTTAAATAAAAATATAAAGTAAATAACAGTATAAGTGGCACATGAAAACTGCATCCTAATTGTGAGGATATACGCAGATGTTAAAATCTCAGAAAAAATGGAGTAGAAGTTACATGGGAAAGACTGCTACAGGCAATGGGGCTTCTTTAAAGGATAAGGGAGATGTTCTGGAAATAGGTAGTAGAAATGGGCCACAATTCTGTGGCTATCCTAATGCCCACTAACTTTTTAAAAGG